TTACCTCCGATAATACTAGTTAGCCTTACTAGAAAAGTGAAATGTTGGATTGGACGTAGCCAATCAATAGTCAAGAGAATAAACCATGTAACAGAGTTACTTTAGCTAAAGAAGCTATAGCGTTATAATAGTAACTGCCATCGAGATTGCGACTGCTCAATGAAGTCTTCATTTGGATTAGGGGAGTTGAGTGTACCAGGATAAGCTTGTTGAGTCCTGGATAGAAGCATGGAACTAACATCATGGTGGTTCATAAAACCAACCTCTGTGCTTAGCTGCTCTTATTCTAAAAGAAGGGAGATTAAGCTTATCCATTCTGAGAGCGCCTCTATCATATATAGGCAATTGACTTTCCTGAATATATATGACCTGTTGGCTGAGGTTGGTAGCATGCTTGGCTAAGGCATCTGCTACCATATTTCCTTCTCTAAAATAGTGAGAGATTTGTATGTTGTGACTTCTTACCATTCTCTTGATCTTTTCAACATCATTGTCAAGATTCCAGGGGGAGTTAATCTTTCCCTAAATCATCTGAACTACCAGTAGGGAATCTTATTTAATGCTAAAATTGGAGATGTTGTTCGCACAACACCATTCTACACCAAAAAGAGCAGCTTGTATCTCGGAATAATTGTTAGTTGAGAATTGAAAGGGTTTGGCAAAGGCCATAACCATGTCTCTATTTCTTCTCCTAACAATTCCACCTGCCCCAGCTTTAGCCATGTTAATCATACTACTGCCGTCTGTGTTTAGGATGAAAGAGTTGTCCAGGGGGCTATTCCAATGTACCATTCTACTAGTGAGCCTTGGATTGTAATTGAGTGCTAAATTGCACACTTTGTTCCAATCCCAAAAGTTATCCATGTTGCTAAATTTCAGCCCAATGATAATTTTGATTTGAGAAATCATCTGTTGCCACACCCTTGTAACTGATATAGACTGCTGACCATACCTTCTAGCATATCTGGCTTTCCATATCTCCCAACATACTATGCTGGGAGTAATCTGTAGTATCATTTTGTGTACAACATTATTGGTTTGCCTGTTCCACCAGGTGTTAAGGACTTGCTGAATATTTTGATCATTGTGAGTAATTCCTAGGGGAGAGGCAATATTCCTCCGTATTCTGTTGGCCGGTTCACTAGTAGCAAAAACATGATAAAAATTTCTTCCTTTGCATTTCTACAACAAGAACACATAGGCTCCACCTGAATACCAAACTTGTGAAGAGTTTCATTTAGTGGGAGTCTTTTCTTGAGTAGTTTCCACATAAGAAAAGAAATGTTGAAAGGAAGTCCCTTGGCCCAAATTTGAGTGAACAGTGTAGTGGTGCTTCTCCTTTGTCTGAGTGCTTGAAAGGTGGATGCACATGAAAACTGTCCATTTGGGTTAAGACACCATATTGCTTTATCTTTGGTAGGGATGATATCTCTGTCAATGTTGATGATTTCAGTTACTAAGTGATCCGGTATTACCTCCCTAAGAGCTTATATATCCCAACTGTGTTCTTGAAAAAAGTTCTTGACGTTAATATTGCCAGGTTTCACAGACTGATTGACTTGGTGGTAGATGGGCCCACTAGGTGTCTATTTTTCCCACCAGAATAGATTCTGGCCTTCATCAATCTCCAGAAAATATTTGGTTCGATATGCTTCTTGATATCCATCATGTTCCTCCAATTGCAAGAGTCTTTAGAGTTTTTAACTTTTGATATGGCATTAACTCTAAGGCACTATTTAGTTTGGAGAAATCTTGACCAAAAAATCTAAATCTCTACCATCTCTTTGCAGAGAAGGATGCACAAATATCTTGAAGTCTTTTGAAGCCAACTCCTCCCTCTTCCTGTGGATAGCACATGTTAGTCCAAGAGTTCCAGTGGTAGTTATTTTTCCCTTCTGTTTCTCCCTAAAAAAAGTTAGAGAAGTACATTTCAATATTATTTAACACTGTTTTTGGAGGAGCCATAGCTGCAAAAAGGTGTAGTGTTTGGGATTGGAGGATGTGATTGATAATAACAGCTTTTCCTCCGGTGGAGAGCATTTTACCATGCCACCCTCCGGCTTTCTGTAACACCTTAGTTGCCATGTCTGTGAAGTAAGCAATCTTCTTTCTTCCTGTGTAAATTGGGCAACCTAGTTATGTGAATGGGAAGTTTGCATGTCTATACCCTGTCCATCTCCTTATTCTTTTAATAGTCCTTCTACTAGAGTGGCCATAGGTATAAAAATTGGTCTTCTCTTTGTTGATTTCTTGCCAGATACCTCTTGATAAGATCTTAGGGTGTCCATCATTAACTTGACTGAGTGTTTGTCTCTCAAAGTGAATAGGATCAAATCGTCTGCATAACATAGATGATTAATTTGTGGTCCCCTTTTGTTCATTGAGAAGCTAATGTAGTTGCTCCTGGTATTGAGTCGATTTAGTGTCTTGGATAGTGCCTCAGCAGCTATGATAAAAAGTGATGGAGATAGGGGATCTCCCTGTTTAAGTCCTCCGGTAGAGTTGAAGAAACCATACCTTGTTCCATTGATAATGACGGAATACCAATTGTTGGATAGAAGTCTGGTAATAGCATTAACCACCAGTGCTGAAAATCCCATTCTTCTCATTACTGCTAGTAGAAAGTCCCAAGATAATCTATCATATGTTTTTGACATATCCAGCTTGATAACCAAATTTCCTTCATCGTTGTTATTTTTCATCCCATGTATGATTTTCTGGGCTAACGACACATTTTATGTAATCAGCCTCCCTTTTACAAAGCCAGCCTGATTTTCAGAGATAATTTTTGGCAAATTAGAGCTAGTCTGTTGGCCATAATTTTGGATAATTTTGTTCATGACATTACATAGGCTAATAGGCCTAAGTTGAGAGAATTCCACCGGGGAAGTCACCTTGGGGATGAGCACTAGACATGAATGTGTATAGAATCTGGTAAGTGAGGCACCGTCGAAAAAAGTCCGGACAAAATTGAAAACTTCTATTTGATGATGTCCAATGTGACTTGAAAGAAATGTCCATTAAAACCATCAGGTCCAGCTGCACTATTAGTATCAATTGAAAAGACTGCATTCTTGACTTCTTCCTCCGTGGGGATATGTTGAAGTAGATCATTGTCCTCTTCTGTGATGATAGATTCAATCTATCTCAGTATATCTCCCATATCCCTTTCCTCATCTTTAGTGAATATGTCCTTGAAGTGTCGTAGTGCTTCTTTAGAGATTGCAGAATTACCCTCAATCCAATGTCCCTCCTTGTTTTTTATCCTATGAATTTGAGCTTTTCTTCTTCTTTGTTTGATGACACTATGAAAGTATTTAGAGTTAGTGTCACCCTCCTCGGCCCACTTTATTCTGGCCTTTTATTTGAGGATAGATTCCTCCACCTTAAGCCAGTGAATATATTCAGCTTGAGTCTTATGAAGATTCTCTCTGTTAGTGTCGGAGTAATTTTCCTTATATATTTCCTCCATACTTCTAGTTGCTGCTTCAATTTGTTGCACTTTGTCAAAAATATTTCCAATGCATTGTCTTGACCAGGTGCTTAATCTCTTTGCTAGTGTCTTAAATTTTTTTTGCATGATCCACTGTTCATTGCCATGTACTTCTTGTGCCCAGGAATCCTTTACTAATTCCATAAACTCTGGTTGTTGTGTCCAGCAATTAAGAAATTTGAAATACTTAATCACCTTATCGTTGTTATTAGAGCACTTCATAAGTAGAAGATTATGATCTAAACCAGTTTTAGAAAGATGATCGATTCTTGTGTTCTAGAAGACATCTTGCCCCTCTTCGTTCGTAAGAACTCTATCAAGTATCTTGCTAATCCTTCTTGTTCTTCTACTGCCATTGCACCATGTGAATATATTGCCAGTGAAACCTACATCTGTAAGTTCACACTCCTCCAAACAGTTAAGAAAATCAAGGCTTCTACTAAGTTTATGAAGGATTCCCCCTCTTTTCTCTTCGGGAGCAAAAATTGAGTTGAAGTCTCTAAGCACTGTCCAAGGACCATCCACACTCCTGTGGATTTCTTTTAGGTTACTCCAAAGACTATTTCTCTTTGTTGCAGTTGACTTAGCATATACTGCAATTATCCTGAAAAAAATGGTTTCACCTGCTTTTTACATTTGAATGTAATTTGTTGCTTTTTATTAGAGATAATTGTGCAATCATAATTGTTTCTCCAGAAGAACCATATTTCACCATTCTTGTTTGCTGTGGCATTATCAAATCCTAGCTTCAATTTGTAGCCTTCAATTTGATTAGCTTCCAAAAAGGGCTCTTGGAGAGCCACAAAGTCTGCCTTGTGTATGTTGACCAACTTATTTAGTCTTTTTGTTGCACCTTTTGATTTCATCCCTCTAATATTCCATATTATGATGTTCATCATAAAAATAAGGATGGAGGGTGAACTAATTTTGAGAGCTTTCAGGTGGTTTAGAGTGCCCACTCTTGTTGCTCTTTTCCCCTGTTTTCTTACTCCTAGGTGAAAGTCCATGCTTGTCCATAATTTCTTTTGTTTCCTTCATCATCGGATCTTCTTCTCAGTTGTTGTACGGTACTGTAGTATTGAGGAATCTATCATCAACTTCCTCGTTTGAGGAGGACATACATTCCTCATGTGATTGTTCAACTGTATTACTATCCTCTGTGCTGTTTAGCTTCGGACCATGTCATTGGTGAAGTTCATTGTGAATTACTTCAACTGGGCCCAAATCTACCTCCCATTGACCCTCTAACCCTTGTATTGCTTCTGGATCAAAAATCATAGGTGATAGTATCTCCACACTTCTGCTTCTTCTAATGAATTCTTCCACTTTGCTGATGTTGTTTGTCTGCCTTTTCTTTTCCTTTATGATTTGCAACTATTTTTTTTATCTTCAAGGTTGATGTTAGTCGATGTTTCTTCCTCAATAGCTTCTATCATGTTGTTTTCAGTAATATGTTTTACTCTTTGTTTGGCCTACACTCTATTTTTAACCTTCAAGAACTTGTTATTTAGAACTTTCTTCTTCCCCTTATTCCTTTTTTGGTGCTGCTTGCAGTTCCTACTTCTACTTGTGTAGCCTGTGTATTCATTGTTACATGTTCTTCTTGAGCACTTTGTTCCGCATGACTCGCTTGTTCCCGTGCTTTCTCTGTTTGTACGACTTTATCAACTTGCTCCTGGATTTGCTTCTTTGGTTCTTTCTTTTCATTGTTCGTAGCGGCATATGTTTGTTGTTGATAGTCTTTTGTCTTCCTGTTTCTTTTATTTTTAACTTAGAGTGAAACCATCAGCCTAATTTCCATCATTGCTTTGTTCTTTACTTTGTAGGTCTACTAATACTTGTTCCCTCATCTAGCATGTTATTTGGTTGGTTTTCCTTTTGTGCCTCAGTGTTTTCCTCCTTGTTAGTCTCTCCAGTAATGTTTTTGTTATCAGGCATGATTGCCTTGGTCTTAGTCGCCTCCTGAAGCTTCTCCTCTTTCTCCTTCTCAACAACTCTATGTTGTATAATAGAGTGGCCAAGTCTCCTACAGTGCTTGCAGTATTTAGGTACTCCCTCATACTCCAATTTCTGCATGAATCCTTTCAGGGGATTAGTCTCATTTTCTTGACCAACCCATACATATTTCAGTTGAGGTTTTGTAAGGTCTACCTCCACTCGGACCTTTGCCATACTTGGTCTCGTCCTATAGTCTGTAGCAATGTCCATAGATAGTGGCAGTCCAACAGGCCCTAAAATTTGTTTAACATAATGCCATGTATAACAGTGAAATGGAAGGCCCGATAGTAGTACCCAAATTGGTGCAATTGGGGAGTCTTCCTCCGGCTTAAAGTCTGGCATCCATTTTTGTAGCCACATTACCAAACCATCTACATCAATTGATCTTTTAAACCATACTGTTTTGAAGTCATCATCATTCGTAACTTCAGTAAAAATAGTTCTAAAGTCATAAACATATTTTAACATCACCTTTTAGCGACACCCTTTCTGCAAAGACTGATCGAATGCGCTCACTATTGGGTCTGTTTGTGAGAAATTAGCCGATGATTTTGTATCTACATTCCATCGCCATCGCCCCGTAGTAGTCACTCTACTTGAAGATTACAAAAGACATACCATTATGTGTGGTAACCCTTGCTTTGACATTCGGATTTTCGAGTCTGTTTCCTTTAGGGTCCGGCTTCAATGGAGCAGCTACCGTCGATGCATAGTTAAGTTTTGTAGAGATTCCTTCCGCGGAGCTACTTGTCCCTGCTTAGGGGTCATTATTTTGCATTGGACGCACCGCCGTATTATTGGCCGGCATCCCTGTGAGGAGGTTGTGCGTGTCCTCGACTCGCCCAAAAAAGGGGCTTTTGCCTTTTGGTGTGTACCGTTGTGAAATAGTCGTTGTACGGGGAGCGTTTTTACATATTCGGTGCAGAGTAATATTATCGCTTCACTTATTTAATATCGATTAGAATGTTCACTCATTAATATAATTTAAATAATATTTTACTAGATGTTCTAGAAATCCATAGTCTGTATCCCAAAAAATTATATTAGGATTATTTGGGGGGAAAAGGGCAATCCGGTGCACAAACCATCTCATGTTCACATAACATTTGGGGGAAAGGACCATACCTCAAGAGGTCTGATATAGACAACATACTTAATGAAAGAATTAAGATTATTTGATTAATCCAATAATATTTTATTTGATTAAAAATTTTAAACATATTTAAAAAATTAACCAAAATAAATCTTGAGTGAATCCTCTGATAGTTTTAAGAATCACCAACAATTGAGAAAAGAAATCAAACCCGCATATAGCCGAAAACAAGTACAATATTATAAATGACAGTATTGCAACAACCCATGTAATAGTGACTCTTTAATAGGCTCGAATTTGGAACTTGGACTCTATTCCGATAGCTTTTCTATTATGTGTAGAATTTAATATATGCTAAGCATAACCTAAACATCATATCAACATCAGTCACAACTTCCCCCATTGTGATATTATAGATATTTTCATGCAACCTCTTTTGCACTTCTTGGTGTTATATAAGTTCCGCGAACACTATTTCATTAAGAATGCTCCAATATAATACGTTGCATGAAATCATCATTTTCACCTATTTAAAGCACATATATTTATCTAAACAAGCATGTATTTAAGTCTCACAAAGGACAGACGAAGAGATGTTCCCAATCTACCTTCATTTTCTTGCCTCGTTAAACTAGTAGTGTTGAGATGTAGTGGAAACACATCAATTGTAGATGTGTTGAGGAAAGATTAAAGGAACATCTAACAAGAAAAAGGAGCAGTATTAATGAAGGAGGCATCAGAGAACAACTTATCATATCAAAAAAAAGACCAATTAAATCGCAACATTGATAAACCTAAAGAAGCTTCAAACAAAGNTAACCCCACCCTAGAAATAGAATTCTTGAAAAAACTATCTCTAGATGATGAAAATTTCAACCCATCCAAACACCCCTTTTTCATATCCACATCCTCAAATGACAAACTAAGGCTATACCGTCCTTGGCAACAAACCATTATTATCAAACTCCTGGGGAAAAAATGTCCTACAAAAATCTTAAGATTAAGCTAAACTCAATCAGGCAACTTAACGAAACCCTTCAATTAATAGATCTAGGATATGACTTCTACCTTATCAAATTTCAAAAATTAGAAAACTACAACAAAATATACCAAAATGGACCTTGGTTCATAGGGATCCAATACCTCTCCATGCGCGAATGGGAACCCAAATTCAACACAGCACTAACACACACAAATTATACAAATATGTGAATCCGGTTACAGGAATTACCCACTGAATACTATGACCTGCAAATACTCAAAAAAATAGCGGATTTCATTGGCAACCTCATTAAAATTGACCCATGCACAGTGCATACATCCAGATGCCGTTATGCCAGGCTTTGTATTTTGGTACCACTAGGTAAATCCCTTCCATCTGAAATTCTATTAGGAACACACACCCAATTAATCCACCATGAAGATTCTTCTATAATATGTACAACATGTGGATGTCTAGGGTATAACCTTCATTACTTCCCAACCTTTACAACCCATTCCACTCCAAATCAAACACAAGAAAATCCAAATGCAACCACCAGTGAAGATGATCAACAAAATCAATGGAAAACTGTCACCTATGCTAAGAACAAGAGCAACACCATGATGAAAGACAATCAATTATCCCAAACCATATCCAAATGTCAAAATCACCCAAATTCCCCCAATACCACCATGAAAGACACAATGGACCCACACGACCCCCATAATACTAAAAAACCAACCACTAACCTCAACCTACAAAACCAATCCAACCTACCAAAGCACAACCCCACACCGGACCCACCCCATACAAAAGCCAAAACCGCCCAAATCCACCCAATATTATAACGCATCCATGCAACCCTAACCTAAATACCTCCAAACCATCATCATCTTACCTACAATCCCCAATACCCACGTCCCCTGACAACCTAGGAGAAACTAATCATTACTTCAATGCACCCCCCTTACACCCCCTTAGCTGCAGAGCCATGTCCAAACGCATAACTCCAAATCAAAACAACAAGAAGAAACAAACAAAACTAGTCAATCATTATAAGTCTACTACTCTAATTCTAGATACAAACATGCCCTTGCATAAACAATACACACCTAGCATAAATGAAAAAAGTGTAACAATGATGTCCATGCAAACAAATACAAACTCTACCATACTTCCCATGTCCCAAAATGCCAAAAGTATATCCTACACTCCACCTCACTTGCTAGACTCCACTGCCTCACCATTATCACTACCTAAAGAACCCCCACCCAATACTACTCCCATTGAATCCACATCACCTAAATCACACAGTAGTACACTGCATAAAGCTTATACTAGTCCATCAACCAACAACAATGGCCTACCCCCTTAACCAACCACTGAAATTACATCCATTACATCCCTCAAAGAATCGTCCAAATACCACCCCAACTAACCTTAACACCATCTCAACCCAAATCTCCATTTTGACTGCCAACTCAATACCAACAAGGACAAGCCTAAGCACCTCACCTCCCTCCCTATTGGAATA